TATATATATGCTCAATAATCCAGGTAGTAAAATCTAACCAGGTTGAGTCAGGTCCTCTGGATGGACTGTTCTTGTTGACACGTTTCATCTTTTATCCAAAGGACTTCTTCAGTCTGAGGAGCAAACTCAGTTTTATAAATAGCTCCTTCTCATGGTGGATCAACCAGTTTGTTGTTGACATGCAGAACTAGATGTTCACATGCTCGAGGAGGACCATCTTCCTTATGACTGATCGTTAGTGCCCTGATGGCCGCTTCTATTCCCTGAGTGAAGGTCTCTATGCAAAGTGCTGAAATCGGCTCTCATTGTGTAGTTGCATGATAAAAATTGCGTCATTTTGTTGTCAGAGTAGCTCCGCCCCTTCGACACAAGCCTTGGCTGAACTTTTTCTCACGGGCACATGCTCCAAGTGTTGTGTGATTGGTCAGAAGTTGGTGGGCGTGTTCGTCAATGTGCTCGGACATTCAGCTGCACGACTCTTCAAACACTAAATTAGTCACATGTTCAGAAACTCTTGGATGGAGCTCGTGCACACATCGTGCACGGAGGAGTCTGTCTGCTGAAAGGTGTGGTGTAGGCAGGAGTGGAGACTCTGGCAGGAAGAATCTGTTGGAGAAAAATATTCTCGCTTTAACTCACTCAAAAGGAGCTAAAGTCGACAGCAGCAGATTTTATCTGGTATGTTACTTGCAGGGTCAGATTTTCAGGACACAGGAAGTGCACGCATGAAGACCAGTCATGAGGATCTGCCACGGGCCGTGTGTGAAGCGTGTTTTTATGCTCTTATCACACACCTGGCAGGTGAATAAAGGAGGTGTCTTTGTCTCAGGGCTTCTCGTTCCTGAGTGATATGGAGCGGGAGATGGATCGACAGATTGGGGCCTTGCCATCAGTAATGTGGGTGTTGCTTTGGTCACTGGTGGTGAAGAACAAGCTGATTCTAAAGGCAAAGCTCAGGCTTTACTATCTGTCTACATTCCAACCCTCACCTGTGGTCAAGAGGTTTAGATCAGGACCAAAAGAACCAGATCCTGGATTCAAGCAGCTGAAACGATCTTCCTTCATATAGTGCTGTGCTGCACTTTACTTAGACCGGTCCAAAGCCTGTGACACTGTAGGTCATGACATCTTATGTCATTCGCTCTCAGATATTGGCTTCTTAGATCACACTGTTCGCTAGTTCTCAAACCATCTCTCAGACCGGAGGCAATGTGTTCGACACAACAGTACTTCATCTAGCTAATTAACAGTCACTAACGGTGTGCTACAAGGCTCAGTTTTAGGTCCCACTCTTTTTACAATTTATATAAATAACATAGGTCAAAACATACCTGTCACATCGTTGCATCTCTATGCCGATGACACTGTTGTTTATTGCCGAGCTAACACAGTTGCCAAGGTTTTCCAGCTTCTACAGTCTGCATCTGACATCATCCAGTCAGACTTGTTCCATCTCAAGCTGGTGCTAAACGCTGATAAAACCAAAGGGATGTTGTTTTCCAACAGAAAGTCGTGCCAACAACTCCTCCTCCCATCTCATCCATGCACGGTGTTCCTATTGAGTTTGTCCATTCTTACTAATACCTGGGAATTTTAATTGATGCACATCTCTCTCTTAAAATGCATCAAAAACTTGATAAAGAAACTGAAATTCAAACTGGTTTTCTTTTTCAGAAATAGATCTTGTTGAACTCTGAACACCAGAAACACCTCGTAACCGCTACCTTCCTACCGACCATCGGCTACGGTGACATTATTTACATGAACGATGCCAGCTGCTTGCAGATGTTGGATGCTGCAGATGTTGGATGCTG